CGTGGTTTAAAGTGATGCTAAGAATATATGTGCAATGCACATGATATCTTTAATATATTTTATGATGGAGGTTCAGGTGGCACGTGCTCGATCGTTTCTCTTGCGTAATTCAGGTCGTGGCGGCTCTGCGGTGTTGCCAGCCTCATTGGTTCGCTGCTGATATAGAAGAACCGTTTTTGTGCGCCGTTCGTTTGCTTGTTCGCCTGTCTGCCGGTCGCGTAATTATTATTCGCCATCGTCGTCCCGTAATTTATCCCGCCACGTCGGCGTTTTTGATCGTCGACACGATGATAGATGGGTCGACGGAGCCAATTCGGACGGCTAATCAGCAGCAGCGGCGCCATTATTCACGCTGGTCGAAAACTAACATGTCGCATAGAGTAAACCGTCGTTCTTTGGTCCCGTCCTTGGTCCAGGTTTGAAGGAGAGCAGGAAAATTTTTAGCCGTTCGATCTTCCCACCATGAAAGAAAAATAACATCCTCATCATCATTGAAGGTTGATGATCCTTTACCGTAGTTATGTGGGATTCTAATACCCTCATTACGGTTTATCACAAAAAGACTGTTGAGTTTCTTCTCCCTCGTTAACTTGGTCACCTTTTGGTCCAGTCGTTGTTTCGAGAGTAGAAATTTTTTAGAATTCGCTTTCGTCTCTTGTGAAGGAAGAAATAACTGATATCGTCACTGATGACCGATGGCGATGCTGATTCTTGTTCTTCATTTGTGGAAGGCGCCGAGTATAGAAGGGAAAAACTGTTAATTATATTCCACATCCGTTAATTTGGCACTCTCAGGACTCAGGACTGTCTTTGGTTCAGTCGTGAATTTATGCAGGAAGTGTGGTTCGTGTCGTTCTGGTGCCTGTGAAAGAATTAGTAACCCTTGTTCTCATTGGTTAATCTTCATTTTCCATGACCGCTTCTCATGTCGGGTCGTGGAGGCAGAAGTGTCAGTGTTTCCAATCCGATGCCGAATCTGTGCCAGAGTCTGAGCTTCGGCGGAAGACAGCTGTAGTCTGGAGCAGAGTCCACGACGATGGCCGATAGCCCTTAACGTGAAATATGTCTGCCTGTTCTTGCATTTCGGGCCTTACAAGAGAAGAATAGTTAGTTACGTTTCCCTCTAATTTAATCGCCGTTGAATGGTTGCATGTACGTAGATGCCGAAACTGGATTTGTTGAGTCGGCTATTAGAAAGATGCTCTGAATGAAACCCCAGACGAAAGAGATGGGGCTTGTTCTTGTGTTTAAAATTTTTATCGGTGTGAGTAAGTTTTTTCGTTACGATGCCTCTCTCAGAACACAGGAACACTTTTCGGTTGATTCATGTCATTATTTCATATTTGCTATCCTCATTGACAGGATTCAGTGATGTGGGTGGAGGATAAAGCTGGTACTTGCATTTCGAGTTAGTCATCTTGTTCGTCCAGCCTCATGGTGGCCGAGCGGTCGGTACACTGCAGCTGCTGCTTCGAATTGTTTCTGTGTCAAGAATTTGTTGAAAAAGTGTCCGACCTTCTTGCAGTTCGTCACATACCTACGACTGAGAGTAGTGGTCATTGGCCGTTAGCCTCTTCACAAGGCTAGCATCTCCTCCTCCGATATCTAATATCATGAACATTTGCAAAGTATGTAGGTTGCATGCCATAACGTAAGAGGCACCCTCACGATCGTCTCGAGTCGAAGCAGAGCAGTTTTCGCCAACAACTTAGAATGATGTTTCTCATCTCTGATATTCTCCTACTGAAAACAGTTGCTGCCAAATGTCCGGTTTGCGACAGATAACCTGCTTCTCAGAGTACCTCACAGCCTTAATCGAATATAAGCGTTCGTGGACGCAGCCTGTGCACAGCTCTGCTTTGGTGTGCTTTCAGAGTTTCTACCAAAATTCAAAATCAACAACAGTCCTACTCGAGAAGGGAAGAACCGCAGTGAATGACAATGTGATGGTTTCTGCCGCATGACAGTTAGCGTTTGAAGAGGATTCCCTCCGTTGTTTTTTATCCTTTCATGCGATGTCGTATTTCTGACATTGCCTGTACTCCTCTGATTCTCACTGTCAACTAAATCTACTGCCCTAAATGGTCGAATGTTTTTGATGAGTTACGTTCCTTCCTTCGAAGATATGGTTTTCTGTAGATTAAGAAGACGAGAAATAAAAGCCAGAGGTTTGGGGACTTTGGTTCAGAGAACGACTAGCACTAGTCACTATTTCTTTTTAACAACCGGAAAAATTTTGTACACTTCTAACTGAACAATATTTATATGATTTAAGTGAAAAAAACGCTTTTGAAAGTCCACTCAGACATGTTTTCATTTTGGAATGATCGATATTATTTTCGAGCAGAGCTATAATGTTACTGCCACTTTGGGCACAGCAGACCGTAAAATCTGTTTCGAAGTTCCTGATAATTCTGGATTGTCTGAAGGCTAAGACCATCACTGGCTCTGATCCGCATTCACTCCAATGTGTCAATGCTACGAATTGGCACTGGTGATTGGCTGTTGACACTGTACCTTTCTGCAATGATGGTCAAACATTTTGGTGACACGGCATAGGTAATTAGAAAATGCATGCAAATTGTAGTACATAAAAGGAAGTTTGCACTATTATAACAGCAGCTTAACTGTAGCCATGCAGGTTGGATGATATCGTTGTTAATTCCTTAGCTGACGTGACCATAGCAGTTTCTCAGCGAATATCAGGAGTACTCCAATCTCTACGATGAATCTTTGAACAATTCATGGTTCGGGGCACCAAATCCAACAGATGGTAAAAGTCTTTAATGCCAACGCTTTTCACTACAACAACTGTAGCATTATCAGGGCTATACTGAACACAAATGTTTACAGAGTATTTTATATACTTTCGAGCGAACAATTGGCTCACTTTGACCAATCGGAATATTTAGACTGACAGAACAAATTGTTGACAAGCAAACAAAGTGCACTGTCAGTTTAGACCTAAAATGGATCTTCATCTTGTTGACCCCGTTTTTTCTTTCTTCTGGTCAATTTAGCGACTGTGCCCCAGCTTTCGCTAACAACCACAGAAGATGTTTATTCATTGCACATCCGGTTGTTCATTGCTAGAATATGTAGAGACTCTTTTATCAGCAGGCCTAATTTGGAATGATCTCTGTCTATTACAGACACCTTTTAATAGACATTATGACAGAGTAAATATGAAAACTAGTCAAGAATTGCTTCGAAACGATGGTTCTGCATGTAATAAGATGAGTAGAGGGGGTTATCCCAAATTTGAAATTTTCAGTTTCTTAAGGTTCTTCAAAATTGTGCTTTTTGACACGACTGAAGTATATGAAAGAGCGAATCTAATAGCACAGAAATAAGAACAATGATTGGATGAACGAATAGTCTAGAAATTATACATCAAGCTTCCGAAACCTGTCGATTAGATGACATTCACAAAATGGCAAAGAAGCAGATTGTGGTTGATGCTTATATCTCTGCAGACGTTCCGTAATTCTGAGTTATAAGTTGTACCACCGGTTACTTCCTTAATGTGCACTAGTAACAGACCCATGAACTACCATCTTCCTTTGTGGATGTATGATGAAAAGATTTTACAGTTCCTTCGTTAGGGATTATCCTATTGATTTGAATATGCCGTCCGACATACTAATGATCTAGGAACAGAAATCTGTGTTGCGTCAAAATCTGCGACAAACGTACACTCCACGTGAATTTTAAACAAAACGACAGCCTAAGAGATGTAGACTTCTGTTTTTTTGTTAGAGATAAATACGGATGTCCTCCAATTAATTAACTCCCGTTCAGTAGTTGCAGTGTGCATTTCATAAACAGATTTTCCTCAGAGGCATAAAGAGTTCTGTCTGTTGCTAATTACCGTTCTTTGGTTAATGAATCATTTCATTATTCATATTGGTACATCGCCCTAACTATGAACTTATTCTGGATGTTTCCCATTCTCAGCGACTGAGACGTTGAACGTTCAACTTTATAGATTGGTACAGACTTATAAATTAACAATGACTTTCCAGTCGCGAGCGCGATCTACAGGAAACTTACGTCGTACTGTAATAGCTCAATTGTTTGATCTGGCTTAATTGCCGCCTTTAGTTCAAAAGCGTATACTGCTACTTAATACTTGTTTATGTTTTGTTTATCAAGTAATGTCCCTTTTATAACGTTTCAACCGTATTTTTTATTTGCAGATTGTGTTACTGCTCTCTATAGCCCGTAATACAGTATAGTAGTGCACCACAGTCGTTCTTCAGATATGATGTTTGCTTTGGTGTTGCGAACTGAGGTAGAAACGGGGATTGACAGTATATTCTTTATGTAAGAAGAATTTCGCAAAATGCGCCAAATTATCAAAATGTACATGACTGACATCCCTAGGGCTACACAGTTTTTCTCTTTGCTTCTGTGCTTTAGGTGATTGCTATAACGTATTAGGCTGATTTAAACGAACCATGCTTTTTAATGGTTCATACCGATTCAGTGCCGCTAATAAATAATGCCAAATTCTTAAATAATTTCTGATTCCGGAGCTGCGCAGTAGTTTTCACACTAGTTTAAACTTTATGATTTTAATCGGACTATTCGTACATATTATAGTATGCTGGAAGACAAGTTAGCTGGCAACATCGCTGAGTATGCAAGATCGTGCGAGTGAATCAACAGGCATTTTTCTTAAGCTGGCACGCGAGTTCCAAGGCCTAGTTGCTTACGTCGCCTGAATCTGGTTACTAAGACAGGTGACTGGTAGATGTGCGTCCATTTCATTGACTAATCAGGGATAAATCATGGTTTTGCTAACACAGCGCAAAGTAAATGGTTGCCGAGTGATGCACCGATCCTGAGGATGGAAAGAAAAATGGATTAAACGACAGAGGAGAAAGTGATCAAAGTTGTCTCTTATTCGTAGGGTTGACGTAGAGCGGCAAAATTCGGCGGTCTGCCATCGTCGTCGTCGTAGTCATAAATCTGTACGTACGATCGTTTTTGGCGGTCATAAATAAGCACGGGCATTATGTGATGGTAGTTATGCGACGGATTGGCGTAAAACGTCTTTTAGAATATGATTGAAGACGGATCGCAACCGACCTGTAGTCCTTATGGCGGTGAGTTACTGACAACCATGTTCTGAGCACCAGCCGAGCGGCACAGCCGTTTTTTGCCCCTCCCTCCAACGTTTTAGCGCGATTTATGTCTACAGTTCTGTTGTGAGATGTAACAGCTCTGGACTCAGCCACGAGCCGTTTCTGCCGCGCCCCGTGCTCGGCACCACCGTCTTTCTGTTCTTGTGATCACTCGATCGCTTATTAAACTCCCAATCGACTCGATCGATCGGTTGATTGGTCTACGGGTTCCGTTGATTAGCGTGGAGGAACGAGGCAAGGAAGCATAATCATATTTTCGAATTCTAAAGTGATGTCCTCATCGTTACTCACTGCCTACCCTTTTACTGGTAGCAGTTAGCGGTTAACGAAGCACGTCTATGCCATGTAGTCAATGCATGCGAAAGCAAGCGTTCTTGAGTTGTTCGGACGGTGTTGGTCGCGTCGACAGTATAATAAACAAACATTCAACAGTACATAAAAATAAAATCTGATCTTATACGTTTACTAGCATACTCCTAGTTTTTGATTTCGCTGCTAATATATACATATATAATCCTTTTCAGTTTTTGATACCGGATTGAAGCATCGTAAGCATCGTCCCATGCTTCTAATCGCCTAGGGGATCACTTACGCTGGCCACGGCTCCACGATATTTGAACACGTGCGGTGCATGGATGCAAAACTGCATCACTAGGCATGGCCGAGCAAAGGCTTGTTCGGACACTTACAAATATGCCACGATCCGTAGGCTTATTTATACACAAAAATAGTATGGATTTACTAGCATACTGCTAGTTATTGATACCGCCGCTAAGATATGCAGTTCTTTTTAGTTTTTGATACCGGATTGAGACTACTATTCAACAGTGTATAGTGAAAGCAATATGAAGAATTGTAAAGGGATTAGCCGTTAGAGCGCTCGTTGTAAGAGGGGTTTTGAGAAACTTGTTGAGAAAAATTCATTACTCGTACTGTTCTTACTGTACTTATTACACAGATGTTTACTGTGCATCTTTCCATCGATTTATAAATATAAATTGTTCCATCACGGCTATTAAATAGTGAAAATTCGTAAATGAATTGTGAAATTTACTTATTTTTGGTTAATTATTTTCTGTTGTTTAAGTTATTGCTTAGTTTATTCAGTCTGATCAAATTGTTTCCACCTATTCGCCAAATAGACACCGCGACGCTTCTTCAAGTCGTTCAGAGAGTGAATGCGGACGATGGTTGAAACAATAGTTGTTGAACAAATGTGCTTTTTAGGCATAAAGGGCGCTGTGCTGCCATTTTGGGGTTACCTTGGTGGCAAGTGAAATTAAGTCCATCGTTTTTCATGATTTTGGCACGAGATTCCATATTCGAGTTGATTAGACAACGTATAGACTAGAAGGAATTTTATAAAATCAATTTTGCGCAGCAACCTGTTTAATTATGGTAACAAGCACGTTGTTTGTTTCTACTGATTTATAATTTTTTGCACATTCACTAAACAACTGACGACGTAATGAAGCCAGTGGCAAAGACGAAGGTTTCCGTCTAATGAGTTAATCTGATGTTTGAGAGTGTATCAGAATTGGATCGATCTTGAAACAAAGTTCTGCTGTTAAAACAGCACATTTCAAGGGCACTGTCTTCTAACTGAACGCAAGCCAGCGGCCTGAAAACCTTTACCAGCATTTCTACTGATATCTCAGCCATTCATAAGCGTATAAATCTTGCTAATTGATACGAAGACCTTCGCGAGCCTACTTGTATTTCGAATGAGTAATTGCTGCGAGTACCTATTACTCTATAGAAATAAGTACCATTACAATCTTATCCAAATGACAAATTTTCTATTCTTTTTGTGGCAGAAAGAATTCGCTGATTACTAGAGCTTCGTTAGCGGTCCGATGCAGTGGTAGCAGCTGAGAAGAATACACTCCCGCAGAGTGTTCCATTATTTACTGTAATACTGTAATTTACTATATGGCACTTAATAAACGCATTACTGTTCTAAAGCCGAGTTTCACAGT